CCATAACATGTTATGTACTGCTGCTATGCTGACCACTGTCTTGAATAAAAGAATAAAAAAAAAGAATTATAAGTATTTCGAGTCCTGGTTGGAGGACAGCAGGAAAGTTGGTTCCCGTCATTTTGCTGTGCCCACGCACGAGTAAATAACTGTGTTACTCGAGGGTTGATTGGGCGTTGAAAGAGTGATGGCAGTCTTATTATACTGGGGGCGAAGTGATCCAGGCAATCACTGGGTGTAATAGCATTATTAGGCCACACCAATTTAATTTGTTGGTTCTCGGATTCGCCTCTTCATTTTTTCCTGATTTGCAAAAAAAAAAAAATTACAGAATCAGCTGCAAAATGCTCATATTTTGCCCTGAATAGTTGAAAAGAGTCCTTTTCTTCCTAGTCGTTACAGTTACTCCATCTTTCAATGCAATGGTATCATTAGAAGTTCACAATTCATTGTTTAAATTTTGAACCAGCCTTTTGTGTTGACTTCACACCTCCTATCGTAGCATTTGGGGCTATAATAGGATGCCTAGATCTGTTTTTATTTTTATTTTTTTCCGCCCTGTCGCTTCATATTTTTTCTGAAAAAATCCGAGAACCAACAAATTAAATTGGTGTGGCCTTAGTGCAATTTTCCAAGATTTTACGTGATGAAGGAAGTAGGGCATTAGAAAGCCTTGCACTGGGTCTACACGTACAAAAAAATGTATAACATAATGTATAATTTTGCTTGCAGTATCACCAGTCAAATATCTACATTGTAAATTGCAAAAACATTCAAATTCGTTTGACGGACAATACAAACAGACAAATTTAATTGCAAATACGTGGGACCGAATATGTAGCATTTTCTGTTCTTTCTCTGTCAAAATGTATTTTCCACGATTAAAAAGATTGATTTTAATGACAAGAATTCTACATTAAATAGAGGCTTACTGGTAGTCTCTATATCCATTCTGAATTCGGTGCACTGGTGGCATTTGAGAGCTTTTTTAGTGCAATTGACACCATTTTTGCTTCCACGGGGTACCAAAGTCGTAAAGACTAATGGGCGATTCGGTTGCCACAAAACTGTTGCTGTGTTATCAGTACTTGTTACCTCTGCCGGTGGAGAAACAAATGTCAGATTGAAGATTTCCCTCTCCGGCATTTAATGTCTAAAACAGGTCCAGCGAGAATAATTGGCAGTTCGGTTGCCACAGATACCGACTGTTGCTTTCGTGTTATCAGTACTATCATAGTCTTTTCTGGCAGTATATTAGATTAGTAGAAAATAATGACAAAGTGAACAGTTTTATTCAGCAATCTTTGCCATTAAACGTCTAAAACAGATACAGAGTAATGGGCAGTTTTGTTTCCACAGATACCAACTGTTGCTGAGCCACTCTGTCATCACTGTTGTTCCTCCGGCTTAAACCTTAACAACCTCCCGGCGGAAGGATATTCCACCGGCTAACGAACAGCCATGACGTCTTTTCTGTCCGGTTTACGGTGTGTGTACCGCGAAGATGAGAGAGTAGCTCTAACATAATCATGTCATTTCCGAAGATCCCTGTAGTTAAAAGTGGGAAGGAAACTCCTGTTTAGTGTTCAAAGACAACATCCTGCTATCATGTCTTT